CGGCTGTTCAGCTCGGGCTGACTCGAACCACTGTTGCTCAGAGCTCAAACTCTTGAGCGAGCTCTTAACCAACTGAGCCACTCAGCCGGCCCTAACAAGTTCTATTCTGTCTCTACAATCTCAACTTTCTTTTATTTCTTTTCCCTTTTTTGCATAAACACTTAAGAGAAAAATAATTAGATTGGCTTAATGACATTAAAGTTATAATCTACTAAGGATGTGTAGTGCCTCAGGGGAATACAATTCTTAAGAATTAGATCAGTTCCATCTTTTGTTTACATTTTTATAGGGAACATCTAGAAACTAATTAGTTGGCCCAGCAGAAGGCACTCCATTGGTGGAATTGGTTATTTCATTATATCCAGGAGATAAAAATGATGGGAACATCTTTGTAAGACTGATTCATCCCCAAAGCTTAGCCAAGATCTTATGAGGGAATCAACATCCATGTGAAATATAAATGTTATTTATTATGGTTCAGAATAAAATCTTGACTTGTCATTAGAACCAGATTCACTTAGTAAAATATCTGTGCTGTGGCCATGTGAAGTTGTGATTATTCTGAAATTGACATGTCTTTATTCTATGTGACACCAGATTTTGTATGAAATTTCTAGAACTAGACAAGCTCCTCAACACGCTCTTGACCAAAAGTACCTGCATCAGAAAAGATAAAATCCATCAACTTCAAAGGAAACAAAACAATATAGCAATCTATGACTGGAGTTATCCTAATCTAACTGTGTCCATGGACCAAGAGTCAGATGATGGTCCTGTTTCCTGGGATCAGGTATTGTCATTATTCCTCTTATACCATCATTTGCTAGTGTCAAAGAAAGCCCAGCTGTAAAAGTTCTGTAAGACTTGTAGAAAACTTAAAAGATAATGTATATTTCCTAAAATGTAAAAATATCCGTTTTCCACAGAGTGATCATTTTTTTTCTTTGTCCTTCTACAAGTAAATCTCTGCAAATATAAACACAAGGCCAAGATATTTAGTTGAATGATATATATTACTCTTTCCTTCCTTGGGTCTATATTGAATACATGAATAATTAATTCAATATACATCTATTAAGCCTTTACTATGTGCCAGTCGCCATTATGGGCATTAGGGATATGGTATTGAACAAAAGTAGGCATAGCTCCTATAGACATTACGTAAGTACTCACAATGATGAATGGATGCTTTAAACTTAGGTTAGATTATAAAAATATTAATTTGGGCTGTGAGAAACAGAGAAATATTGGCATAGTAGGTAACTAGCTCTGAGATGGATTCTGAGAAAAGGTGATATATGAGCTTGTAAACATAGTCATATCCATATATTCCTAAAGTTGTGTTCCAAAGTACATTCACCAGACTACCTTGGTGCTTATTGAAATGGGATGCTATGGTCCAATTGTTTGAGAAATGTTGGAGACATACATTGCACAGTAGCAGACTAAGGTGTCTAGGGAAGTCCTTTAATAAACCAACTTTAATCTTACTGAATTTAGCATTTCTTAAACTTTGACCATCCAGTCCTTCCTGGCCCTAGGCATTTAAAATCATGACAAATTGATGTTCTATGATAATGCTTACATTTATTGAGTACTTATTCTGTATTAGACACTGTGCTATTTGGCTGGCATTGCCTCATTTAATTATTACAACTGTATGAGGTTAGGTTATATTCTGTTATTCTATCTTACAGATGATGAAATTGAGGCATGGAGCTAATAAGTAATTGCTTAAATTCACAGAAACTGAGGATAATACATAAGTTGCCTGATGGCATATTCAGTGCCCTTAGTATATTCGGTGTCCCTATTATTTAGGAAATGTTGATTTAAAACAACTGTTTTTGTCATTTGTATCTTAGATAAGCGGTAATACTATTGGGCACAATCCGTATCTTAAAACAGCAAAACTCCTCACATAGTCCTACCGCTACTGAACGCTGTTCCCATAAGATATGAATACACGATTGGGCAGTGTCACATATTTTTGCTATTATATATTTTTAAAAATGAATTTTCTATTACTTCTTTCTTTTTCTGTTAAAAGGTACCTATTTGATTCTTTCAAACTCACGCTAATTGTTTTCAATTGAAGGTGACAAGAGTTACCACCTATGTTAATCCTTGTTTGTAAAGTCTCCTTAAATGCTTCTTCAGGGCCAGCTCTTAGGAGGGAACAAATTTGCCTATTTGCATTAAAAATAAAGGATATTTCAAAAAATTTAGGGATTGCCTACTTAAGCCATGCATCTTCTAAGAACAGTAATCATTTTCTGTGCAGACTATGCAAAATAAACAAAATCTCTTCTGCAATTCTTCTCTGTCCCAACATGTCACTTTTCTTGTAACTCTCAATGGGACCCTAAGATAGGAGACTCTGAAGATCTTGCCTATATTACTTAGACTGGTGGTTCTCAAAGTGTTGTCCCTGGACCAGCAGCATCAGTGTCACCTGGCAATTCATTGGAAATGCAAATTCTCAGGTCCCACCCCAGAATGTACTGAACGATAAACTCTGACAACGGAGCCCAGGACTCCATTGTTTAACAAGCCCTCCAAGGAATTCTCAAAACTTAAGTTCAGGAACCACTGCTTTAGAATATGTAAAGTTACCATGGAAGTCTGATAATATCAACACAAGTATACACATACCGGGAGTGCCAAAAAAATGTATACTAGTGAACACTTTGGTCAACGTTGCTCAAGCAGTAGTTCGCCATAATCGGAAGTGTCTGGACGCTGATGGTAACCACTTTGAACGTCTCTTGTAATTGCAGAAGTCAAACGTGACTTGTATTTATCTTTTGTTATCAGTATATATTGAGTATTATATTACAATTTTAATAGTTTTTCTCTTTCTTAAAATGTGTATACATTTTTTTGGCACCCTCTGCATATTGAAGTTTTATGTAAAGGAATGAAGGTATTTTAAAGGTTATTACCTGGGTAATCTAAATATTCTTTATTAAAAATACTTTGTATTCAAAATGTTATAGAATATAACATATTATCTTTAAGGATATTCCTGTTAGTGCTTTCAGAAGAAATCTAAAACAATGACCTAAATAGCACAGGAACAGCAGATAAAGATTGAGGGCACAGAAGCTTATAATAGAGTAAACTTATTCTATGAGAAAATATTCCAAAAGTGGAACTACTTAATTTTTGACAATGAACTTGGGAAAGATGCATATTCATGTTTATCTCTCCACTCTTTTACTTCCCAGTCATGCATTTTCCAATAAGAATTATTTATTATGGAGGATTCATCATCAAAAGTTTGTTGCTAGTTTTTGTTTATTGATGTCAGTATTTTTAATGATGAAGTCATTATATTCCATTAGTAACAAATGGTGTAAAAGGGAATATCATCTTTGACAAAAATTATTTTGATAAGGAAAAAACCCCATAAGTTTAGTTTTCTGTTGTTGCTTTTTGTAGTAGAAAACTTTTGGAGTTCTTGCCCAGTTCCTTTCCGAGAAATGCCTTCTTCACCCACAGAAGTGAGGTTGGTAGCCATATTTATGCAGTGTGATCCCACCTTCTATCATGTGGGCAAAACTGATTGAACTGGATAGATGGATGTCTGACCCAAGAGAGCCCATCTGTGGCTTTGCTGAAGCAATCAGGTCTCTGTCAGGACTTGCAGAATTGACTCAATCTTGGGTTTGTGAACTGAAAGGTCACTTCAGAGTTGGGGCTTATATAGCCATGTGTTTTCTAAAAGAGAGAAGGTCAGACTGAAAGAAAATAGATTTATGCAGAGAGAAACAGAAAGGAGAAGGTGCTTGGCCCTGAAGAAACAAGCCTTTTAAATCACTGATTAAAAAAAAACTTATTGATTGTAACTAATGATCACAAAAATATTGTATTGGAGTCTTATTTCAATACAAGACATCCATTTGTGCTAGTGGAACTATATTACCGTTCTCACCCACATACTAAAACTTTCAAATGTAATTTTTGACATACAACATCAGCTCTGAACACTTCTAAAATGGACAAACACCTTGTGGCAATTTTTAGAGACCTGTTGCATTTCCTGCTTATTTATAATCCTTGTCACTTATAAATATGCCTATACAATATAGAAATTGCACATATTTAGGTAAATATCGGTAGGCAAAAACAATGATTTCAATTGTTTTCATGGAAAAGGGATGTTAATTGACAAATGCTGTGTGAACTAGCTGGTGTGTAAATGCTAAATGATATGGCTTCATGTGTCCATTTTAGCCATTCTGTTTAGTTCTGACCCCCTAGCTCTGAGCTTAGTAACAATGTATATTTTCCCCATACAGACTTGCTTCTCTGCTGGGCAGCTGGTGCAGATCTTTCTACAAGACAGCCTTTTGCCCATTTCTAAGGAGGACTTTAAGAAAATGAGTCCAGGAATCATCCAGCAGTTGCTCAGCTGCTCTTGCCAGTTGCCCAAGGACCAACAAGGAAACCTGCCGCCCACCACTCTGGAGAGTAAGTCCTGATTCTTCCCTCAGAGGGCTTATGCACACAATGTATCTAATAATAACAATGAACACTGGATACTCACTGTATAGCAGGCACTGTTCTCAGTGCCTGATGTTTATCAAATCATTTAATCCTCACAACAACGCTATGAGCTAGATATTATTATTATCCCCATTTTACAGATGAGAAAACTGAGGCACATAGAGGTTAAGTGACTTGCCCAAGGACACACAGCTGGTAAGTGATGGAATTGGGTTCAAACCCAGGCAAGCTGGCCTCAGAGTCGTTTCTTAACCACTATGCTATGCTAGCTTTCAATGAATATTTTATATTTTGTATACAATGTCTATAAACTGATTTTGTCCCCTCTATAGGACTCAGTCACAGTTCACCTTGAAAGTGCATAGTTGGGAAGTGGCATGGTATAAGAGAAAGAATATAATATCAGAATCTGAAATGTAGAGTTCAGTGATGCCTTCCATCCCCTATCAACTCTGGTGATCTTCAGAAATCTCTTTATTTCCCTGAGCCCGTCTCTTTTTCTGCACAATAGAAAGCAGTGATATCCTGCATGGCTTCCCATGCTTTCACACCGCATGGCATAAAAAAATAAAAATGAAGGCATGCTGGGGTTATCCAAAGAGGCTGCTTTGAGACGCAGGCGGGTCTCAGCCTCCCAGACCCGGCTGGTACCCCTGGGATAAGCACTCACCTGTGTCCCATTGGATCACTGCAGTCAGTGAGCCCTACTGTAAGTCTTCCAAGGGTACCTGCCAGGTTCAAATGGGATAATGTGTAAAAACCTGTGTTCTTTTTTTTTTTTTTTCAGCCCTCAGATCTCATAATCTTACCCTTTACTGAGAGGGACTTACAATCTCAGTCTGGGCAAAAGAAAGAAATAAGTGATAAAAGATAGAAAGGAAGAAGTAAAGTGACAGAAAGATAAAGCATGAAAGGTAGAAAAATGCCCAGACTTCTGAAAGTTAGTCCTATTCTCTCCAAGTAAAAAATCTGTGTTCTTAATTTAAAGCACCATATATTTAAAAAAGAAAAAAATTGTAGCCTAAGACTATCCACGAAGGATAGTAAAAATGTGACTATTAATCCATGCAACCATTAAATATTACCATTGATCTGAAGGCCTTATATAAGGTTTCTTTCAGAGCTGCTTTTCTATCTCTTTGAGACAGTCTGTAGTGCCCATCATAGCTGACCTGTTCAGCTTCTCACTTCTAACTCACAGTGGATTCCAAGGCCTCAAGAGGCTTATTTGAAGATTTTAAGCGAACATGGCAGGCCTAAATAGCTAAAACTCCACATTCACTGAGAGTAAGAAAGCTTCGTTAAAAGTGAGCAGATAAATAATTCAGCACCTGGTGGTCAGTGAGGGCTCAAAAATGGATGAGATGGACAGACCCTGGCACCTAGGAGCTTCCATGAGTGTGTTTCAATTCCCACCATGTGGCACAGTATCTGGTACATACAGGCCACTGGGAAATGCGTTTATGAACTGAAGATCCGTGAAACAGCTTTTGTCTTTCTGATGACCTTTCTAGACTCTTCTAAGGAATGGTCTTCCTGAGGAAAATTCAAACAAATCCCACTCACTGAAGAACATAGAAAAACATGACTGTCCTCAATGTAAAATGTTGTGTTAAGTATCTAAAGGGAAGTGTTTGTGTTTGGCGTTTTTGAAATTACAGAAATGTAAGACGGAGAGGGAAGGACACAGGGAGACGTTATGAAGAAAGTCGTGTCCAGTGTGCTGAACCTCGACCTCTAAGCACCACCTCCAGTTGAGTTTCCAGGGAAGAGTGTTATGGTCATGTACAAATCAAGTGTCAGACCGGTGCAAAGTAGCTGTTCATGAGTGGCTAAGAATTTAATTATTAGGTCAAGTTCTATAGTTACGATGGGAAACATTTACATAGTACCTGTCTGCAAGTGGCCTGACTCCAATCAAGAGGCCAAGGCAATCTCTGTAGGGACTGGGGTAAGTTAGCACAGTCCAATGGCCACAGAAGTCAGAGATTTTATGGTTTTCAGGCTGTCCTTGCCACATGAGAGCAGGTGAAATCTGACTCACAGAGGACCTAAAAAGATCCCTAAGCTCTAAAGTCAGGGCACATCCATTCTCCTCCAATGCCACACTCTAGCTGCTCTCAGGATAATGGGGCGGGGAGTAGAAGAATGGAAGAACTTGATACTTTGTCTTTTGGCTGGGAAATGTCCGACCCTAATTTGTCCTTGTGAGTTCTTGACGTTTTGTGATCTTCTGTAGCTACCATAAAAATGTGGCAACTTTGAACTTTATTAGACACCCATATGCTCATGTTAAACTTCAAACTTCATGTCTTTCTTTTGTGTGTTAGACGAGAAGAATGACAATCCCACACAGGAAGAATGGGATTTGAAACTTGGTTAAATATTTCTAGGGATATTTTTATAACAAAGGTATTTTTACTAAACTAGAACAGAAGGAAACTTCTAGGCAGGTGTATGACCATTCCAAACCAAGTTATTTTTAAAATTTTAATTGTGGTTAAAAAATACGTGACATGTATCATCGTGACTATTCTTAAGTGTACAGTTCAGTAGTATTAAGTATTTTCAAATTGTTGTGCAGCATATTTCTAGAACTTGTGCATCTTGCAAAACTGAAACTCTATAATAGAACCATTAAGCAACTAGCATTTTATAGTGGTTCCCTCGCAGCAAAAGAATGGTGATGACAGTGGGAATATTGAAGCTTTAAAGTGTTTTTTGCCTCCTCTGAGTATAGCACTGACTCTTTTAATATTAGACTCCTGTATCATTTTTAACTTATAATTCAGTAAAAGTCCTCTTAAAATCCCAAGCCTAGTACCATATAACCAGCTAGTGTCATTAATATGATCTAATGTAGAGAGGATGAACCTTCCAGAAAAGTACAAAAATGAGAATGGAGTATTTTTTATTATAACGAACATTAAGATGATGGTTTCTTAAAAGCTACAATGGACTTGAAGCAGCATAACTAAATTGTTTGCTTTAACTAATTATTTTCCTGTAATCATTAAAGGAAATAGTTTAATTTTGTAACCACCTCCCTTCATTACTTACAAACCAGTTTGCCATGACTTCTTAGTAATTTCTAAATATGTAGAAAACAGTATTTGCTCTGAATTATCTGCAACCGAAAGAAAACAGTGGTATGAATTACTCTTTATCCCCAAATCATTTATACCTGACTTTGGCAGCCATTTTCCCCCTCTTTTAATCTTTCTCTTTCCTTTCTCCTTTATATCTTCTCCTCTCACACACATTTGTTTTTGTTTGAATAATTTTAAAACTTGTACTTTCTGAATATTTTTTTTAAATCTAGAAGCTTAAAAACATGGAATAAATTTAGAGGTTATAAAATATTATAGCAGTAATCCCAAATGTAGACAGTCCAACTTTATGTTATCAACTATTACACATTCATTGTTCAGTTTTTACTAACTCAATCACTCATTTTAGTCATTGAGAATAATAAACACTTTTGATATTACAAATAATTTTGAGAAATTTTGGAAGAAGGTACTCATTTTGTACACAAACATAGGTCTCTACATGTGCCCTCTATAATATTGTATGCTTCCTCTATAGCACTGCCTCCTTGCCTTCAAAAGGTGTAAATGTCACTAGATGGAAATCATTATCAGTGTCTGTCAGCAGAAGTTATAATTTAAAGTGAGAGAAATTAATTTCTTTGGATATAGGAGATTAGCTAGGTCCTTGCTTGCCACAGTAATTTTTTTTTCTTCAGTTTATGCAGGATGTTTTATTTTAAACAAAAAGACTTGGATTTTATCTTGTAGATAATAAGGCTCCAATGAAGCTTTTCAATTTTAATTTTTTTTCTTTTTTAGTTACAGTTGACATTCAATAATTTATATTAGTTTCAGGTGTATAGCATAGTGGTTAGACACTTATATAATTTATGCAGTGATCCCCTGACTAGTTTAGTACCCACCTGGCACTATACATTGTTACAACATTATTGACTATATTCCCTATGCTGTACTTTACATCCTGTGACTATTTTCTAACTACCAATTTGTATTTCCAAATCCCTTCACATTTTTTACCCAGCTTCTCCAACATCCTTCCCTTCTGGTAACCATCAGTTCTCTCTATCTATGGGGAGGATGTGGAGAAAAGGGAACCCTCATACACTGTTAGTGGGACTGCAAATAGTTGGTGCAGCCACTATGGAAAATGATTTGAAGGTTCCTCAAAAAATTAAAAATACAACTATCTTATGATCCAGCAATTCTGCTTCTGGGTATTTACCTGAAGAAATTCAAAACACGAATTCAAAAAGATATACGCGCCCCTATGTTCACTGCAGTGCTATTTATAATAGCCAAGATATGGAAGAAACCCAAGTGCCCATCAATAGATTGGATAATGAAGATGTGGTACATATGAGGTCAGAAAATTAAGTTTGCGAACTCACCCTAGAAAAAGTGCTACATGTCTCATTGCTAAATATCACTACGGTCACCTTCGAAGTACTCCCCTTGGGAAGCTATGCACCAACTCCAGTGCCTAGTCCTCCCTTCAAAGCAATTTTGGAACTCTTCTCTGGAATGGTCATCAGAGCCATTGTCGTATTACCCTTGATGTCCTGAATGCCATCAAAATGTCTTCCTTTCAATATTTCTTTTATCTTCGGGTAAAGAGAGAAGTCATTGGGGCTAGATCAGGTGACTAGGGAAGGTGTTCCAATACAGTTATTTGTTTACTGGCTAAAAACTCCCTCACAGACAGTGCCATGTATTGTTGTGACACAAGAACCATGAAATGTTGGCAAAAAGTTCAGATCGTCCGACTTTATCATGCAGCCTTTTCAGCACTTCTGAATAGCAAACTTGGTTAACTGTTTGTCCAGTTGGCACAAATTCATAATGAATAATCCCTCTGATATCAAAAAAAGGTTAGCAATATCATTGCAACAAAGTTCGCAAACCTAATTGCCACACTTCATATAGACAATGGAATATTACTCAGCCATAAAAAAAGAACAAAGTCTTGCCACAGTGATTTTTTTTTTTAAGATTTTTATTGGGGAATTGGGGGATGGAAACAGACAAGTCGCTGTCATCCTGCTCCTCAGTCTAGTTGTGGAGGACGCCGCCCCACTGGCCCAAGTTGGCACCATCATTGCGCTCTTTCCGGGCGAGGCAGATCAGTCGCTGGCTTCTGGACGGCCGCTCACTGCGGCTGCTGGCCGCTCACCCTGGCGGCTGGCTACATACGGTAACCCATGGCAACCCACTGCCACAGGGGCTGCAGCCTATGCTGGCGACTCATGGCA